GCAATGTGCATGTTATTCTCACAACACATCTCCGTTTAGACTAGAGATGGGACCAGTGGTTACTGCACTGGACAGCACTGTGTTAGAAGGATAAAGGAACCAAAGCCAGAAGGTGAGTCATCCTGTAAGACACTGGTCTCATCTTTTTTTTTTTAATTGAAGTATAGTCAGTTTATAATGTTGTGTCAATTTCTGGTGTACAGCATGTTTCAGTCATACACAGACATACACATATTCCTTTTCACACTAGTCTCATCTTGTAAACAAGTTCCTGACATGAATAAGAGGGACTATTCCACATTAAAAGATATCGGGCCAAAACAAACATTTGCAGTGTGTGTGGTTCTGGAGTAGATCCCGGTTTAAACAATCCAGATGTAAAAGCCTTAAAAACAAATTGGGAAAATGTGAATATCAATCAGTGTTGGATTGTATTAGTATCGGTAAGTGCAGCAAGGTAATTTTGGCTGTGTAGAAAAAGTGTTGTTAATTACACTTAGCATTCTTAAATATTTAAATAAAAATTAGTAAACCTTTAAATAAATATTCTCACTTCTCAACAGATTTTTGTCTCCAATAAATCAATAACGTGAAAAAGGCAGACTGTTAGAGATTTAAAGAGCCCTAAGAAACATAACTCCAGTGTGCGTTTTCCCCACACCAACAAACAATTCAGTTCTGACACTGTCCACCTGAAGACAGCATCACATTCCTCAGGTTAAGGGCTCAGTCCCACAAGACTGCCCCTACTTCAGATGCCAATTGGAAGTCCAGGTTGTCACCTGTGCTTCTGACCGACTGGCTATAAATCAGAGGTTCCCACCACACTCTCCAGGGGTTCAATTAATTTCCTAGAGTGGCTCACAGAACTCAGAGGAACATTTTCTTACATTTATGAGGTTCCTATAAAGGGAAATTTAAAGGATAGAGATGCAGAGTCGGATGAAGAGGTGCAGGGGCAAGGTGTGCGGGACGAGGTGCAGAGCTTCCACGCCCTCTCCAGGCACACTGCTCTCCCCACATCACCACGCTCTCACCAACCTGGAGTTCTCCAGACCCTGTCTTTTTGGGTTTTTATGGAGGCTTCATTACAAAGACATGGCTGATTGATGATCATTGGCCACTGGCAACTGATTCACCTTGCCCCTCTCCCCAGCTGGGGGCAGGGGGGTTGAGAGTGAAAGTTTCTATTCTGGGATCACTGGGTGGGTTCCCCTGGCAGCCAGCCCCCTCCCTTGGTTATCTAGGGGATTTCCTAGTCACCTCATTAACATAACAAAGGCATTTTTTTAATCCCTCTTATCACTTAGAAAATTCCAAGAGTTTTCAAAAATAGTCCTGTGCCAGGAACCAAGGAAGACCCAAAATATATTTCTTATTATAAATCACAATGTCATTAGAAATATGTGGTACTCAACTATATCCTAACTTAGACAAACCAGCTGTAAAGAGCATTTATCAAAACCAGGAGGGGGCGAGGGGGACAGTATAGCTCAGTGGTAGAGAACCAGCTTAGCATGCATGAGGTCCTGGATTCAATCTCCAGTACCTCCATTAAAATTAATACATTAAATTTTAAAAAATTAATTACCCCCTCCCCAAAAAAAGACTGCTTAAAGAATAAATTAATTAAAAACATAGGAGGATTGAGTATGGAATAAGCATTATGTTAAGAAATTACTTTTCATTTTATGAAGTGTGATGTTATCTTAGTTTTGCAGTGACTATTTTTCGAATGCATATTAATTTTTTAAAATCTATTGGAGGCTTTTGTGAAAGAGAAGGCTGGGTCCCTGACGATCCGGAAACGTCCTCTTCAGTAGCCCAAAAGAAAGCTGGGCATGTATAGGGGAGAGATCGCTAACTGACTGACTGAAAAAACTAAAACATCAGCCAACAACTCAGTTATTTAGGTCTGGCGCATCACTCACTAAGAAACATCCCAGTGTCTGGATTCGATTTTAGCTTCACTCAATCTTGCCACTAAACCCATACCATTGTAAGCCTATGAACTGCAAGAAAATGCCAGTAGAAAAGGCCACACAAACAAGTGATCCTAAAGCTTCCGAAAAAACTGAGTTCATCCCAGAACCACTACATGTGAGCCAGAAGCACAAACAGGAAACAGATGAGGTGAGCTGCAAGCAGAGCCCTGGGGTTAAGGTGCTTGCCCCTGAGAGCTCCAGGGAGGTGACGGCCGTTACTGCACAGTCTGTCACACTCAGGGAATTGTAAGGGAATGGACTAGTTATCCGGACATCAGAACAGTGGTCCAAGATAATTACATTCTTGACAGACCGCCTTTAAAACGTGCTAAAATGTGTTTATGCAATTGGCTATGGGGCTGAGTTTTAAACTGGTGTCTTGCAGCTTGGTTCACAGTAAAAATACGAGACCTAACCTTTTTATAGCATTAAGACAGATATTGAGAAAAGTGCATCTGTGACGCTTATGATTCTTTTTTTTTTTCCTGGCAGAACTAGCAAGTCAATGAAACATAATACTTGCAGGCATTTCTTTTTTTTTTTTTTAATGAGTACCACAAATCTGATGGAGTGACTTGACTTCTGCATCTTATCTGGATTCCTTTGTAATCAGCTCCCAGTTTATTTATTATGTATCTGGGGTCAACAGATGGGACAGAGCTTCTATGGTTGATTTTTTTCTTTTTTTTTCCCCCTAATGAAAGGAGAGACTTAAAAAAGTACAAATTTTGCCTAAAGAAGAGGAGACAGAAGATGTATCACCCAGATGTTCTATCAAATTAAGGCATCTAGGCAGCTTGACAGGATTTATGAGAGAAAATATAGAACTACTTATAGTTTTAGTTATTCTGTTGGTAATGGAAACTAATAGATTCACTGGTTAATGTCAAACACAAAGGAGAAACTGTAAATTTGAGTGAATAAAACAGAAATGGCTTTATTGAAACATTATCTAGGTAGAATGAAGCTGCAGCTGTTGCTCCCACAATCTAACACAGTACTGAGAAGCAGATGATTTATGATGCTAATATGATAATGACACCTCCCTACCGAGGGGCTCCAGGGACTGTCTGATAGTCCCATTTCTGGTAACCTAACACAGCTGAAAAAGTTCATTTCTTAGCAAAAATAAAACAGTCGAAATCATGATGACACTTGAGGGCTTTTGATTAAAATAGGGGCAGAATCAGAGGGAAAAAAAATCCTAAAAAGGCAAAAATGTCTATTTGATTTTCTTCTTAATAAGTTATTTTTAATGTAGTATTTGAAAGGCGTGTTTCGTATCACCATAATGGTTGCCCTACACAACAGAAGTACAACCTTGAGTGGCATCATGATTAGCGCCTTTCATCTCGGCACTTGGGATATAAAAAGCATTTGGGACCACTATGTTCTCTGCTTGTCAAAAAGCTGATGAGAGAACTCAGAACTGGCTATTCTAATATGAAAAAACTCCGGTCTTGACATGTCCATGAAATTTTGCATGGATGCAATATGAACGTGCAATTGAAAGTCAGGTTCAGCAAACCTTCATCACCTAGTTTATATATATTTTGCACACTCATTGTGGTCTTAGGCCCTGGGGATACCAAGAAGAACCAGACAAAGTTCTCTCTTCTGGAGGAAAGGAGTTTGAGACATGATAAATGCTGCTTTTAAAATAATTAGTAAGGGCTAAGCAAGACAGATGGTGTATTGTAAGAATACCGAAGAAAACATTGTGCACACATATATCAACTGGCTGACTGCGGACAAAACTCAAATAATTAAGACTTTAGGTCAAAAGAAACCCACTAAATAATACTTTTCCTAAACTGAATAGTATTTAATCATTTAACAGTTAGTCAAAAATAAAAGAAATTTAAACAAATTTTTTAAAACTTTGATCAATGCAGTCACTACAGTAAGACTGAAGCAATAAGGCCATCGGTGGTCCTAGTCCTGAC